GCCTGTTTTGTTTTTATGTATCGTGTGGCTATTGTTTTCTCACCCTTTTTCCCTTTTAACGGTTTGGGGTCTGAATTTTTCTTGGGAAGGAATTACAGGAATGCGTTAAAAATTTTGAGAGATGCGAGAGGTCCCAGTTGAATGTGGGTAGCTGGGAACTGTGAACACTAGCGGTAGCAAAAAAGAGAGACAGAGAAGAGGGCCTGGAATGAGGTGATACCACGTGCAGGCTCCCATTAAAGGACTTGCGAGTGAGCGACCCCACTTAGCCCAAACTCAAACCTACCTCCTCTCCTGCCAATTGTTTTAAGCTTAAAGGGTTGGATAGCATGGTTGTGCATGATTCACACCGATAATAAAGAAGACCCATTTGATGGTTTCTTCTCTTTACATTTCAGCAGTTTCTGATTCATCATGAACAAAGGCTTTGTAACCATACCGTGGACTGAAGTATTTTGATTCTCTCTTCTAAGATTTTGGTTTATCTTTCTTCACCAAGGTTTGTGACTTCCTTTTGTTCACCTCTTATTATTATTATTTTTAGTTCTACTTTCTGGGTTGTTGCGTTTGGGTTATTCTATGCTCAATTTCGGTGTGAGACATTTTTGGAACAGAGGAAGCCATTTAGGTTTGTGTCGGATCAATCCATCGGAGGCTTACTTTTTCCTAGTGGGGCTCTGTTAATTTGGATATAGGAATCTATTTGCCCTTTTTCTGTTTTTGTGCCTTTTGAAAGTCCATTTATCCGTTTCTTTCAGTTTAAGCTAGAGTGTAATTTCCGTCTATGATTTACTTCCTGGCGATTTATGGCTTACTTTGGATTTCACGAGTAGGGGGAATCCTCTAACAAAGTTGATGGTAGAGGAAAAGTTTTAGATGCCATGAACCTGTGAAAATCATGTCTTGTCTAACGACCTACAACCAAACGCAATCTTGATGTGGAGATTCTTTCACTGTGTCCGCAGATGATAAAATAATGATATACTATAGCTACCATATGTTGCTCTTTGCATAGAAAACCCATTTAATAATGCTTTCCCTAAAAGCTGCATGTTAAACAATTGGATAGTTTCACTTGACCTGCAATCAAATGCTTTACTACTCACCTATTTTCTTATTTATTTGATAGTTTCACTTGAAACTTTTCTCTATATTTTTTTTGTTGCTCAAAACTAGGGGGATAGCCCTTTTTCAGTCGTTAAGTCAGCATTTCGGTTGACTGTTTGGCTTCACTGCAGCATGTCAGAAGCCCAGAGGAAATCAAATGTGGTCAATTTCGGGCGTGGGAATGGATATTTAAACGGGGCAATACCCGTCAGAAACGCAACTGCAGTTTCTGAAGTTGATGCGTTCTGCCAATCCCTTGGTGGGAAGAAGCCAATCCATAGTATTTTAATTGCAAACAATGGAATGGCTGCTGTTAAGTTTATACGTAGTATTAGAACATGGGCTTATGAAACATTTGGCACTGAAAAGGCAATCTTGCTGGTGGCTATGGCTACGCCAGAGGATATGCGGATCAATGCCGAGCATATCAGAATTGCAGATCAGTTTGTGGAGGTTCCTGGTGGGACCAACAATAATAACTATGCAAACGTGCAGCTTATTGTTGAGGTACTTGATATTTTCAATTAAATTTGTATTATTATCTCCTGGTCCTAGTTTTGGTCACATTTCATAAGTGGGATTGGTTTCTAATGTAAAGGAAGCAATAACCATCTTTTCTTTTGATCATAAAAGTAAGTCAGACAAGCAAATCCTGATAAAATGAAGATATATTTCAGCTGTAACAATCGATTTCACTGACCTTTAAACTAACCATAGTGGAACTTTGGGATTTCACCACTGATATTGAACTTATGAGTTGTTGAAGAAACTGTCCTATAAAACATGGATAGAATTTGATGATTAAGATGGTCTTACACTCCTATTAAGAAACTTGGTAGCTTCTTGCTCATAACATGTTTTTATTTTTGAGGGTTTCTTTTTCTGCTATATAATTGTTTATCAAAATTTTTTTTTGAACAAAGATACTAACTCTTCATTGATGTATGTAATGGAACAAAATTGTTCAAAGATATAATTGTTTATCATATTAAATTGGTTTATTATGTAGATGGCAGAGATAACTCATGTTGATGCAGTTTGGCCTGGTTGGGGCCATGCATCTGAGAACCCTGAGCTGCCAGATGCACTGAGTGCAAAAGGAATCATATTTCTTGGGCCTCCATCAATATCTATGGCGGCATTGGGTGATAAAATTGGTTCATCATTAATTGCACAGGCTGCAGAAGTACCCACCCTTCCATGGAGTGGTTCTCACGTAAGTTTATGTTATTTTCTGTCCGTCCATATCACTCACTTTATGACCCACACTCAATATATTATATATTTTGTGTTCAGGTGAAAATTCCTCCTGATAGCTGCTTAGTTACCATCCCAGATGAGGTGTACAGGGAAGCATGTGTTTACACAACAGAAGAGGCCATTGCAAGTTGTCAAGTTGTAGGTTACCCAGCCATGATAAAGGCATCGTGGGGTGGAGGCGGTAAAGGCATTAGAAAGGTTAGAATAGCAGTATTATACATAATTATTATATAGGTAGCTTAGGAACAATGAAAACAACCTCACGAGCAACTTTCATCGTTGAACTTGTGAGGACAAATTATAACGGCCATTTATTTAAAAAATTATTATTTTTATCTGGAAATATGAAGCTACCCTTTTTATCTCAACCTTCAGGTTCATAATGATGACGAGGTGAGAGCGTTGTTCAAACAAGTGCAAGGTGAGGTTCCAGGATCACCCATATTTATAATGAAGGTTGCATCACAGGTCAGATATCTAACTACGTTTTATCCCAGTCATCATTGTTGCCATAGGTATGTTTTATCTTGACTTTCCGTTGGCTTTTGTCTAACTAGAGCCGGCACCTAGAAGTTCAGTTATTATGCGATCAATATGGAAATGTTGCCGCTTTGCACAGTCGTGATTGCAGTGTTCAGAGACGGCACCAAAAGGTTGGTTCAAATTATTGTTACTCAGTATCCATTTCTTGGGAATCCATGGTTTTGTAAGTTTCTATAAAGTGTTCTTACTAGGAACCTTTCATTTAACCTATCCCGTGGCAAACAGATTATTGAGGAGGGTCCAATTACAGTTGCGCCTCTGCAGACAGTGAAAAAGCTAGAACAGGCAGCTAGAAGATTGGCTAAATGTGTGAACTACGTTGGAGCAGCAACTGTTGAGTATCTATACAGTATGGAAACTGGAGAGTACTATTTCTTAGAGCTCAATCCTCGGTTACAGGTATCGATGACCTTAGATCTTGAACTTGACATACCCCATCTTAGTTATCTGGTATATGTAAATAATCTCTTTTTGTTTACCGAGCTGTTCAAGTGTAGATCATGCAAGGAAAGAAATTGTTGCATATATCCTCAATAAGTCCCGCCCATGTGTTTATGCTTACTCTGACATGCATTCATTAATAGCTGTCATTGGTTGATCACATCCACGTACTTTGGATTATTACAAAACATTCATGGGCAAGTGATGATTTTGTGTATCTATTAACTTCTAAACAGGTTGAGCACCCAGTGACTGAGTGGATAGCTGAAATAAACCTTCCAGCAGCCCAAGTTTCTGTGGGGATGGGAATTCCTCTATGGCAAATTCCTGGTACGATGCTTTATATCTATGGAAGTCATTTCTTATATTTGTCACATGGAATTTTGTATTTATAATTACTTGATCATATGTATAATTTTTTAAATCAGAGATCAGACGTTTTTATGGGGTAGAGCATGGTGGAGGATATGACGCTTGGCGGAAAACTTCTGTTGCCGCAACTCCATTTGATTTTGACCAGGCAGAATCCACTAGACCAAAAGGCCATTGTGTAGCCGTGCGAGTAACAAGTGAGGACCCCGATGATGGTTTTAAGCCTACAAGTGGAAAAGTACAGGTCGGTTGCATTGCTGATGATTTATGGCATATGATGTTAATTTTTATTTATTTTTGTTTTTCTTTACATATGTATTTTTTATTTTGTAAGATGAAAGAGTTTAAAATGCCTCCAACCCTGTGCAGGAGTTGAATTTCAAAAGTAAGCCAAACGTATGGGCATACTTCTCTGTCAAGGTAGACCTTTTATTGTAAATGTTATTTTCCTACTATTTAACGCCAACATTTATGCTGAATTACATTTTCCGATATGCTTTGCAGTCTGGAGGAGGCATTCATGAATTTTCAGATTCTCAGTTTGGTAAGCATTAGCTGATAGATCTTTATGCAGTTAGTTCTTCAGTTTGAGTTTTGGGAAACTTGTAGACAAGACACACGAGTATATTTTAATTTCTAAATTCGATGTGATGCAGAAAATGGATCGCTCTTGTAATGTTCTTAAAATATTTGATTTGATGGATAGTGTTCTGATAAGTTAGGAATGCCCCTTCAGCATCATTAAATGAATTTAAAGAAATTATATAAAAATTCAAAGAGTTCTTCAAATTATCAAGCAACTCTTCAAGGTTTTTATTTATCTCCTCACGTAGATAGGATGATATTTTTATCTTAACTTCATAAGAGAATTTCTTCTTATTTGATATTATTTGCATACCTTGCTAAAATCTTGATGTCCTTCTCCAGGTCATGTTTTTGCATTTGGAGAGTCCCGACCTCTAGCAATTGCAAACATGGTTCTTGGGCTGAAGGAAATACAAATTCGAGGAGAAATTCGAACCAATGTTGATTACACAATAGATCTTTTAAATGTAATGTTAAGATGACATATTTTTATTTTCTGCAGTTCTAAATTATATCATTTTCTTATTCATTTTTGGTGGAAATGCAACTTAAGAATAATAGCCTACAGGCTCTCGATTACAGAGAAAACAAAATTCATACAGGCTGGTTGGACAGTAGAATTGCTATGCGAGTTAGAGCAGAGAGGCCTCCATGGTACATTTCTGTTGTTGGAGGGGCTCTATTTGTAAGCACAAGTATTTGATATAAATTTCAATTTCTTAAATGTGTGTATAGTTAAATATATTGGTTACATTTGTGCTTTTTTCAACTCAGAAAGCATCCACCAGCAGCGCAGCCATGGTTTCTGATTACATTGGCTATCTTGAGAAAGGGCAAATCCCTCCCAAGGTATTGTTATAAGGAATTCTAATTAGGTACCTGATTTTTGTTGTCTCGATGCATTACCCTTCCTAAATTATGTTCTATGAAATTTAATGGCAGCACATTTCTCTTGTCCACTCTCAAGTATCACTAAATATTGAAGGAAGCAAATACACGGTAATGCTTTTGTCACTTTATTTTGAATGTTGTGAGTTTATATAGCTTATTGACATATCACTGCCATTGTCTGGTATTCATTATAGATTGACATGGTAAGGGGCGGATCTGGAAGTTATAGGCTGAGAACGAATGAATCAGAGATTGAAGCGGAGATTCATACCTTACGTGATGGGGGTTTATTGATGCAGGCAAGTACTTGGCTTGAAAGTTATATTTACGAATACACGATTGAAGCCAGTAGTCTACTTTTCAAATTTTGTCTGGATGAAACATGTGAAAATTAGATGAAGCCCTTCTAAATTGAAATTGCTCTTAAGATTGAGTATACGCGTGTTCAACTTCATATGGTTAAGCTATTTGAATGTGTAGCTTTAATTTTGGACAGTTGGATGGAAATAGTCATGTAATATATGCTGAAGAAGAAGCAGCTGGAACTCGACTTCTTATTGATGGGAGAACATGCTTGCTTCAGGTGTGTGAAAAGTAACCCTAATTAGCCCCCCCCCAACACTCTCCAGCACAGGCTGATAACATTTAATTATCTTTGTTCTTAACCAGAATGATCATGATCCATCTAAATTAGTTGCAGAGACGCCATGCAAACTGCTGAGGTATCTAGTTTCAGATGGCAGTCATATCGATGCTGATGCACCATATGCCGAAGTTGAGGTCATGAAGATGTGCATGCCTCTTCTTTCACCTGCTTCTGGAGTTATCCATTTTGAAATGTCTGAAGGTCAAGCAATGCAGGTCAGCGACAATTCGACGATGAAATATGGGTACTCTAGTTATGGTGAATTTATGGATTCTCTCTTTTTAGGCTGGTGAACTCATAGCGAAGCTAGATCTAGATGATCCGTCGGCTGTAAGGAAAGCAGAGCCGTTCCATGGGAGATTCCCTGTCTTGGGCCCCCCAACTGCAATTTCTGGTAAAGTTCATCAGAGATGTGCTGCAAGCTTAAATGCGGCTCGGATGATTTTGGCAGGATATGAGCATAACATTGAGGAGGTGAATGATCTCCTGTCCAGTTTCGCTATCATCAGATCTCTCTCTTTGCACACACACATATGTATATAAATGCCACACATATGTCTACATCTGTGCATATTTATATATCAGTATATCTACACACACAAGCACATACATAAACACACAATATCAAGAATGCATAGCAACGAACAACTAGTGAAGATTCTTTTCTATCAGGTGGTGCAAAGCTTACTTAATTGCCTTGATAGTCCTGAATTACCATTCCTACAATGGCAAGAATGCATGTCAGTTCTTGCAACACGCCTTCCCAAAGAACTAAAATTTGAGGTGCTCGATTGTCTTCTGAACTCTACTTACAGTTTTATCCTCTACTTCTAAATTTTCAACAATCTGAATCCTTTTCATTTTGCTTTCTTAGCTGGAGTCCAAATATAGGGAGTTTGAGGGGATTTCAAGCTCCCAGAATGTCGATTTTCCTGCCAAATTATTACGTTCAATTCTTGAAGTAAGTTCCTTCACCAAAATTCTATAAGTGCTCATGTTGAATTGTCACTCGCGGAAGGTAAACACTTCTTCTGGCAGGCTCATTTATCCTCCTGTCCAGAGAAAGAGAAGGGGGCTCAAGAAAGGCTTCTTGAACCATTGGTGAGTCTTGTGAAGTCTTATGATGGTGGAAGAGAGAGTCATGCTCGTGTTATTGTTCAGTCCCTTTTTGAAGAGTATCTGTCAGTTGAAGAACTGTTCAGTGACAACATTCAGGTGACTTGTTTTCAGATTTGATAAATGATTCTATGGTAGAAAATAATCATGTAGTTCTGCGGAGCTAGATGTTGGAACTTGCAGTATATGTCAAGGATCATTCTCAAGTTGGAGACTCTTTCTTTTTCCTGTGGCCAAATGGGCTGTAGGATTTATGCTACTGAATATCATCTCAATTCTTAAGTAACAACTATGTTTTCCCCTTTATTTGCAAGGCTACATTAACGTGTTCATTGATTATATTTAATATATCTTTTCGTTTGCCGGAGATCTAATCTATCAATGTAACCATTCACAGCTTTGATAAGGGAATGAATCTCTCTCCTCTATGCGAAATTACTAGGACTAAATTGTTTCGTTCTGGGTTTAGGAAGTAGAAATCAAGTTTGCATTCCTCTGGAGATGAAAATAAGGATTTTATTCCTTCCCATTACTTTTTTAATTGTTCTCAAAGTCAAAGCTGATAGTGTGCGTTGAATTTAGTTTATAGGCTGGTAATCAACAGAAATCTAAGTGGTAACATTGTGAAATTCCTCTTTTACTGTGAGTGGAATGCTTAATTTTAAGGTTGATTAGAAATAAATAGAAGAACATTTCAAGGTTGAATAGATATTTAAGAGAGATTTGGGAAATTGTTCGTTTTATTTCCTCTGTGTTTTCTGCATAAGAATTTATTTTCCTTTTTCGTCTCGTTTGATCTCTTTTTTAATTATAGTATTTTTATGATTTGTAATAATTGGAGATATCTACTTGTGACCCCCTTGGTGCATCCTGGTGGCTGCACTTGCTCCTCTGTCTATGCCATTCTTTTAATGAAGTTTTGTTTCTTATGAAAAAAATAATAAATCCTTATGTGGGTTTTTTTTGGTGGAGTGGTATTACAGTTATCAACGTGAAATTATTATTTCTTGACATGAAGTTTTCTCTTCCTGAAGGCTGATGTGATTGAAAGACTTCGACTTCAATATAAGAAAGATCTGCTAAAGGTCGTAGACATTGTCCTTTCTCATCAGGTACTAATTTCTACCTTGTCTTTTCCTGTCTCTCTGATGCTGTTATTTTGAAATTAAACATCAGTTCATGCTCAACTTTTGGCTTACAGGGAATCAGGAGCAAAAATAAGCTTATATTGCGACTCATGGAACAACTCGTCTATCCTAATCCTGCAGCTTACCGAGATAAATTAATACGATTCTCTGCACTGAACCATACAAATTATTCCGAGGTTGGCTACTCTGTTAAAGAACTAGCATTCTTTCTGTTAAATTGACCAGCCGTTCATTGCCAAAACCATTTTTCTACCATGGGATGAGGTTTTGATCTGATGATAATGGGGGTTCTACTTTATTGTACCACGAAAATATTTCTGCTAGTATACTATTAGCTTACATCATGTTATGGTCTCCCTTCTCTCCCCATCCCTCTCCCTCTTAACATCCCTCTAAGAAACATATTCCAAATGCTTAATGCAGTTGGCGCTGAAGGCAAGTCAGCTATTGGAACAAACTAAGCTGAGTGAACTTCGTTCCAATATTGCTAGAAGCCTTTCTGAATTAGAGATGTTTACTGAGGATGGAGAAAATATGGATACTCCAAAGAGGAAAAGTGCCATTGATGAGCGTATGGAAGCTCTTGTAAGTGTTCCTTTGGCTGTTGAGGATGCTCTTGTAGGTCTCTTTGATCACAGTGATCACACCCTTCAAAGGCGAGTGGTGGAGACTTATGTCCGCAGACTATACCAGGTACTTATTAAAACATCTGTAATCATCGGCCTCCCAAATGGAACTGAAATTTGCATGTCTAACTGTGCTAATATGTTCTTATCCAGCCCTACCTCGTCAAGGGGAGTGTGAGGATGCAGTGGCATAGATCTGGTCTTATGGGGTCATGGGAGTTTCTGGAAGAGCATATTGAGAGGAAAAGTGGGATTGAAGATCAGGAGTCTTGCCAATCAGTTGAGAAACACAGTGAGAGGAAATGGGGAGCTATGATCATATTAAAGTCTCTACAGTTATTGCCTACAACTCTTAGTGCTGTACTAAAAGAAACTACTCATAACATTAATGAAGCAACCACAGACAAGTCTCTTGAACCAGCCAACTTTGGTAATATGATACACATTGCATTGGTGGGCATCAACAACCAGATGAGCTTACTTCAGGATAGGTAACGCCGTTTCCTATCTACTCTGCACTGAATTCCTGTCATACTGTGAAACCTTCTTATGGAGATAAAAATTCATCGATCATCTATCACCTTACAGTGAGATTATGTGCGCTTGGCTTGTTCAGATATTGACTCAATAACATACTATATTTTGTTTGTTATGTCGTATATTTATTTAACTGTGAATGTATATGCATTTTTACTGTAATATAGAAACGTCTTGGTCTTGCTGGATAGCTTAACTAGATTATGAACTATAGTTTGGTTAAAGTAATCATAGGATTTTAATTATTTGCCCTCTTCTTTCCTACTTGTCTTGATGATAAACAGTGGTGATGAAGATCAAGCTCAAGAGAGAATAAACAAGTTGGCTAAAATACTTAAGGAGCGAGAAATTGGATCCAGTCTACGGTCTGCAGGTGTAGCTGTAATTAGCTGCATCATACAGAGAGATGAAGGACGAGCCCCTATGAGGCACTCATTCCACTGGTCGGCAGAAAAGCTGCATTATGAAGAAGAGCCATTATTGCGTCACCTGGAACCTCCTCTATCTATTTACCTTGAATTGGTTAGTCATGAATGCACATTTATCCTTTACTGTTCAACGCTTGATCGTCTGGCACTGGACATATGGTGTAATTTGGTGATCTCATTCTCACCTACCTACCTACATATTATCTGCTCTTCCAGGATAAACTCAAAGGGTATGAAAATATACGGTATACGCCTTCTCGGGATCGTCAATGGCACCTGTACACTGTTCAAGACAAGCCAGGAGTGATCCAAAGGATGTTTCTGAGGACACTTGTTAGGCAGCCAGTCTCTAGTGAAGGCTTAGTATCATATCCTGGGTTGGATGTAGAAGCCCGCAAACCTCTCTCTTTTACTTCAAGGAGCATCTTGAGGTCCTTGATGACTGCAATGGAGGAGCTGGAACTCAATTCACACAATAGTTCTATCAAACCCGACCATGCTCATATGTACCTTTACATCTTAAGAGAACAACATATAGGCGATCTTGTACCCTACCATAAGTAAGTGTCCTCATTTTCTGTTTACAATCTTTTTTTTGGTACTTGTTAGCATTCTTATAGGAATTCTTGCTTGGACAAATTTCCAGGAGCGTAATCTTAGATACTGGGGAAGAAGAGCCTGATGTGGAGACCATATTATCAGATCTTGTTCGTGAAATCCAGTCATTTGTTGGTGTAAGAATGCATAAATTAGGCGTTTGTGAATGGGAAGTGAAACTTTGGCTAGCTTCTTCTGGACAGGCAAATGGTGCTTGGAGGGTAGTGGTAACAAATGTGACCGGTCATACCTGCACTGTACATGTAAGTGTTCGAGTGTCCTTTCTTCCAAAGTAGATAAGTATGTTTGCATGCAACAGTAAACTAGTACGTAGGGCAACTCAAAATGATGAAAGCCACGGAATCTTTTTACTTTTTGATATTATTACAAACTTGCCATGGATATCTTTTTGTAACTCCATTTTTGGGCTCTAGGGAATCTCTCCCTCTTTCGTATTATTTCATACATCAATAAAATACATGTTTCCCTCTTAAGATTTTTTTACAAACTTGCCACTTTTTTCAGAAATGATAAGAGATATATCATATCCATGAAAACTTGGGCACATTGAATAATTATTAGAGTCCAGTTGATATTGTTATCTAGGATTTCCTGGGTTTGCATTGTTCGTTGAGTTTTCCTTGTATACAGAAGACTACTTTTTGAAGTTTATTTATATTTATTTGCATACGTGTCCTGGGTAGCAAAGTAAACAATGAATCGTACTTGGTAATTGAATAAATATTACATCTGATCTGACAAGTTGCGGTTGTGGAGTGCTCCCCTTCACCACCATTTATGTACACATGCATATATTTTTTGTTCAGCACTATGAAGGGATAAACAGAAGGATATATATATTATTTGAATAACATTCAAGTAAACTATACAGTCAGTATGTGGGATTATATAGCTGTAGTTTAATCACAGAAATGTTAAATAGTTTAAACGTCGATATATATGTGAGACTATATAGCTGAAGTTGAATCTCAGAAATGTTAATTACTTAATTAGCGTATCATTGATAACCAGATATATCGTGAAGTCGAGGATACAAATGGACACAGAGTACTCTACCATTCAGTCTCGAAACAGGCTCCTCTTCATGGTGTGCCTGTGAGTGCACAACACCAGCCATTGGGAGTTCTTGACTTGAAACGTCTTTCTGCCAGAAGAAGTAACACCACTTACTGCTATGACTTTCCATTGGTGAGCAACATGTCTTGTTATACTACAAAATTGCTAGTACACATTGTTTTGTCTTCTAAGCATGTGCATGCTGTCGCTCATGGTAATTGACACCTATTCTTCCCCTTGAGGTTGGAGGTTGAAACTCCCGTATCCCCAATTTATTGTACTCGAAAAAGGAAAAAAAAAGAACGTGCATGCTAGTGTGTGCACACAGACCAAAAAGAGAAACTAAAGCAGAACTGTTTTTGCAGGCATTTGAGACAGCATTGGAAAAGTCATGGGAATCTCAATTCCCCAATATTGATAAACCCAAGGATAAAGTTCTTATCAACATTACTGAACTCAAATTTTCTGACCAGAAAGGCACCTGGGGCACTCCCCTTGTCCCTGTGCAGCGGCAACCTGGGCTTAATGATATTGGTATGATAGCTTGGTTAATGGAAATGTCAACGCCAGAGTTCCCCTCTGGAAGAAGAATATTGGTTGTAGCAAACGACGTAACCTTCAAAGCTGGGTCTTTTGGTCCTAGAGAGGATGCATTCTTTCTTGCTGTCACTGATTTGGCTTGTGCTAGGAAACTGCCTTTGATTTACCTGGCAGCAAACTCTGGTGCCCGAATTGGGGTTGCTGATGAAGTCAAATCCTGCTTTAGAGTAGGTTGGTCTGATGAATCTAGTCCTGAGCGTGGTTTCCAGTACGTATACTTGACCCCTGAAGATTATGTTCGTATTAAATCCTCTGTCATTGCACATGAAGTACAGATTCCTAGTGGAGAAGTCAGATGGGTTATTGATACCATTGTCGGGAAGGAGGATGGCTTGGGTGTAGAAAACCTAACAGGCAGTGGAGCTATTGCTGGTGCATATTCAAGGGCATATAATGAAACCTTTACCTTAACATATGTGACTGGAAGGACTGTTGGGATTGGTGCTTATCTTGCTCGCCTTGGCATGCGGTGTATACAAAGGCTTGATCAGCCTATAATTCTTACCGGTTTCTCTACACTAAACAAACTTCTCGGTCGTGAAGTTTATAGTTCTCACATGCAACTTGGTGGACCCAAAATCATGGCAACCAATGGGGTTGTTCATCTAACAGTTTCAGATGATCTTGAAGGGATATCTGCTATTTTGAAGTGGCTTAGCTATATACCATCTCACATGGGCGGTGATCTTCCAATTTCAAGACCTTTGGATCCTCCAGAGAGGCATGTTGAGTACTCTCCAGAAAACTCATGTGATCCTCGTGCAGCAATTTGTGGTGCTTTGGATAGTAGTGGAAAATGGATGGGCGGAATTTTTGACAAGGATAGCTTCATTGAAACACTGGAAGGTTGGGCAAGGACGGTTGTCACTGGAAGGGCAAAACTTGGAGGCATTCCTGTTGGAATTATTGCTGTAGAAACGCAGACGGTGATGCAAGTCATCCCTGCCGATCCGGGTCAGCTGGATTCCCATGAGAGGGTTGTTCCTCAGGCTGGTCAAGTATGGTTTCCCGATTCTGCGTCAAAGACAGCCCAGGCGTTGTTGGATTTTAATAGAGAAGAGCTGCCGCTTTTCATTCTTGCCAACTGGAGGGGCTTTTCTGGAGGCCAGAGGGACCTTTTTGAGGGAATTCTGCAGGCCGGCTCAACTATTGTGGAGAATCTGAGAACATATAAACAGCCTGTTTTTGTATACATTCCAATGATGGGTGAACTCCGTGGAGGGGCATGGGTTGTCGTGGATAGTCGTATTAATTCACAACATATCGAAATGTATGCTGAAACAACAGCAAGAGGTAATGTACTCGAGCCTGAAGGAATGATTGAGATTAAATTTAGGACAAAGGAATTGCTTGAATGCATGGGTAGACTTGATCAACAGCTGATCAGCCTGAAGGCAAAACTTCAAGAAGCAAAAGGAAATGGAATCCACAATCTCATTGAATCTCTACAGCAGCAGGTAAAAGCTCGTGAAAAGGAGCTTTTGCCTGTTTACATTCAGATAGCCACCCGATTCGCAGAACTACATGACACTTCTTTGCGAATGGCTGCGAAAGGAGTCATTAAAGAAGTTATTAACTGGAGTGATTCCAGATCTTTCTTTTACAAGAGATTGCGACGTAGGATCTCAGAAGAATCGTTGATCAAGACAGTAAGAGAAGCTGCTGGAGAGCAGCTTTCACATGAAGCCGCACTGGACCTGATTAAGAACTGGTTTTCAAATTCTGGCAGCAGAGAAGATGCATGGCTGGATGATGCCACTTTCTTTAGATGGAAAGATGATCCCAGGAATTATGAGGAGAAGCTGAAGGAATTGCGAGTCCAGAAGTTATTACTTCAGTTAACCAATTTGGGTAGTTCGCATTCGGATTTACAAGCTTTACCTCAAGGTCTTGCTGCCCTTCTAAGCAAGGTAAATATAATCAGTCAATGACAAATTTCCCTACCTTATCATGTAACTTAAGGCAAGGAATTGATTGTGTAAAAACTATGCAGGTGGAGCAATCCAGCAGAGTGCAATTGATCGATGAGCTTCGTAAGGTGCTCGAAAAATCGTATAGGTAGATAGTCGATTGTGGCCTTATGATGTGATTCAGATTTTCAATATGATTAACTTGGATAATTTCTTATGATTGATTATCTGAGATATTCTGGAATCAATAGTAACTTGGTTGCATAATATACACAAGTCACCAATTATTTGGTTGGACAAATGAAGCTGCTCTCTGACATGTCAGAGGTTAGTCTTAGGAACATTGTATTACCTTGAGAGAATAAGATTTTGCTCATGCTTCGAGTTTGTATGAAAGTAGTTTGTAGGAAATAAAATTTGTATGTACATTAAGACAACTGTTTTCAGTAGGCTCTAGTCTGCTCTGCCTTATCGTACCAAAATGTAGTTTTGTGAGATTTTACCTATGGAAGTCCAAGGTTATTATGCTTAATTGAACCATTTCAACTCACCTCAGAATTCTAAATGTATCTACAGTAGCAAAATGCTTGTCTTTCTTTCTTCCAGAGTCTGTTTTCCAGTAGAAACAGAGCACCCAACAGTTAAAATGAAAATGAAACAGCCATAATAAACATGATGGTTGATTTAATTGAAGATAGAGAATTCACATAGATTAATGTTCTTGTTTAGTACAATAACACCATCCAGGACCAGGAGCTTTTCATTTGTGAGAAGTCCAAACTCAGTTCCTCTTTTTCTTGTTCTTTTGTTTCTCATTCTTCAATGCTTTCTGCTGTTTCATTTTCTTCTCTTCTTCGCTTCTCAGTCGTTCTTCCTTTTCCTTCTTCTCCTCGGCCTTGCTTTGTTTTTCCTTTTCTCTCTTCTCTTCTTCCTTCCTCTGTTTTTCCTTTTCCTTCTTCACCTTGGCTTTCCTGTCTTCTTCCTTCCTCTGTTTTTCCTTTTCTTTTGCTCTCTTTTTGCTCTCTACCTCCATTTCCTCTTTTGTAAGCTGTCTTCTAACGCTGAAACACATTGCTTTTGAAAAGATTCAAATATCTGAAGAATTCACCTGAGAAGGAATTGTGTAGTTTCAACTTTCAAGCATCAAAAAATGCTTCCCTAAATACTCATTGCCGCTCAAGCCTGCAAGGTGTCTCAATAGCCTCATTTTTATGGCTTTCAGCATCTGGATCAAAAAGCCGGCCAGTAACACTAACAGACAACCAAAATATTTATTATTCCTAAGAGAATTTTACAAAGAATTTTGTATTGTCTTTACCTGTTCCCTGCAAGAGTGCAAGGCAATTCAAGATTAAGCTTTGAAACGTTCTTAACATGGATGAGACAAGGGCTTATCCATTATCACCAGAGAAGAATACTATCATGGGGTCATTTAATAATAACAGATTAGATTCTTAATTCAAGAGCAGCAGCTAACAGAGTAACTGCTTCTGCATGCCGCCCCCCCTGCTCTTCAACAGTGTTGCACTCTTTTGGTACGCTATGCATTTTTGATTTAGGAAGAATGATAAGTCGATAGCTTGAAGAGTGCCTGCCTATTAGTTGATCCGAAAGCCTCTTTTTCAAGTAACAGTAGCAGATATTATGTTACCGAGCAATTGGCAAGCCTCTAGCAGAATGAGAACTACGGAGCGAGATAAATGAAAGCCTATGTTTTACAGCCTTTGACAGAGTTCAAACTATGCAGTTAACAGAAACAAAATCGCAGTTGAAGAAGATGAGGCTCCGTATCATTCAAGCTATCTCATATACCGGGTATGGCGTATCCAATAAGTAAATTAGAAATAAATAATAGGAATAGAGATTTGATAACCACTCCGATCGGAGGTCGAAAAGAAAAAGCCTCCAGATAAATGTTGAAAGTGACCAAAATGGAACGATTCATGAAAATGACTAGAGATGTCAAGAGAAAATTCAAATCGAATTAATTTAAATATAATCACTGGCATTATATACATTGGTACTATCTACTTACCAATACAGAACTTGCCAAAAATATTGGACAAAACCTCTTCAGAGATATCGTCACCACTTATTTGCCCAAGAGCTAAAGCAGCACCTCTCAAATCCACTGTCCAAAAATCAAGAGGCAACTCCTCTTCAATGGAAGATTTTAGTCTTGCAAGCGCCTCCTTGGTTCGAAGAAGCTGCTCACATTGTCTCTGATTGTAACCAGAACAGCACTAAACCATAAGTTCTATTGCTCATTAATACATCAATTTATTAAGACAAGGAATACTGTAATTTTTAGTTTTAGGCAGTCTGCAACTGGGTTCTTATCTGGAGATGGGTAGGGTGGAATAGGTTACCTGGTTTACTGTCCATCTACGTCCACTTGCAAGAGTTTTGTCGAGACCCACCAGCTCGGATATTGCCATCTCCAGATTCTCTATTCCTTGTCCGGTGACAGCGCATGTATAAACTTGTTTATTGAAAGAATCATAGTTCATACCAAGATCATCCATGTTTGGAGATGGAACACAGTCTATCTTGTTTATTACCAGAAGTATAGGAGTGGCTGATCCATTTGATTTCTGTATTTTTCAAGAATTTAAAAGGACAAAAAAAAAAACATAAACACCAACTTCCAAATTTCTTTAAAGTGGTGGAGTTCTGATATTGACCATTAACTCAATAAAGCAGAGTTCATTGGAGGAAAGGGTGGTGGAATTTTGTTGTTTAACCTTTTTTGACTGTATCCTATCAAGAAGTATGGTATCTTCTGTAGTCCATCCGTCTAGGGCGCTTATAGTCATAATAATGACATCAGCCCCAAGAGCAGCAGCTTCAGATCTCTCTACGCCTGTAAATAGACCACAGGACAAGTTACAACTACACAAACTAAATGCAAATCAACTTGGCTTAAAGCGACTAATTGAGCATCATGAGAATACCCTGTAGCGCATCATAAGTTAACAATCAAAAAGTTATGAACTGCAAGTTTACACTCAAGTGGTCTGTGTAATTTGCAATTGCCATACACTGTTTTGGAAAATAATCATATATTTATATGGCATGACACTAAATGCAATGTCCAAACCCTTGAAATGCTGAATGAAGACATTAAAAATTCATAAATCATACCAATCTTTTCCACAATGTCATCTGTTTCCCTAATTCCAGCTGTATCCAGAAGAGTCACAGGGATACCACAAACTGTGACATTCGCCTCAATTACGTCCCTGGTAGTTCCAGCAATTTCTGTAACTATCGCCCTCTCGCTCTGCACGCTAAAAAATAAATGTGACAATAGAATGACGTGATTAAGAGTTCAAGAAAAAAGTAGCTAAAGAAAACCACCTATATCTAACAGGAAACTTCATTATGAGATTACAAATATTTTGGCATGCTTTAACATGAACACAAGTTTACAATGTCTCTTTCCATAAGTAACACACAAAACTTTCATAGCATAAATGAAATTACAAAGGAGGGAAATCACCCTCACAAATGCCAAAGTGTTACAGGAAGAAACTCCTCTGGGCCAGCGTAGTAGATAATGAGTAGCAAAAGAATTAGAAAAAACACTCCAAGACAAGGCCACGAAAACAATCACATTCTGAACATCCTGAGAAGCTCTTTCCTGTACACTCCATTTAAGATTCTCTATTTCTCTCTAACCACACTTTCTCATAAAAGAGACTTAATAGCATCAAGCCAAAGAACCCTAACCTTGCTTCTTAAACATGTGGTCACAAAACAGCTACAATGGAACTTTCTGAAATTCTTGTGGGAAGCACTAAGAAGTGGCTAAAAATGTGTCCCAATTATCCATCCAGCAAGGCCAAAGCAATGTCTCTAGAGCTCAAGATGGACTTCACAAACAACCTATCAACCAAACTCATTTTCATAGTCCTGCTCTTCCAAAATGTGTCTTCGGCAAGGCTTATTTCAGAGCTAGCCCCTAAATGTCATGTTCAAGCTAAAAACATACGTTAGACACTAGGAGTCCCTGTAGATGTTCTAGTACTTAACCATGGAGGGAAGGGTCGCACAACAGGCTTCCATCTTTTTCCCTAATAAGCATTCTCTTCTTAGATTTTCTCATCAACATAGGCACACTGAACAGATTATTGGCAAAAGGCACTTGGCAAGTTTGATATCCAATATAGCATCTGGCAGATTATCCACTCCTTGACCAACTTGTTTTAGACGAACAATCCCTGCTCTCCTCCACCTTCCCAGAAATCTGCACAAAAGGACAGACTATCTTCCCTATTTTTGCGACGAATTTGACGGAAGAGGTAAGCGTCACAACACAATGTTCCTGTTCCTAGAAAAGTTGAAGTAGAGCCCCTTCGGCCCTTCCTCATTTGGGTTACTACCAAATCCTCCTTGTTCTCCTAAACCTATTTTCCTTCTGTATCAATCCTTTCCATGTGCAGGCTAGAAAAGTTGAAGGGTGAGCACTCTCCTTGAATATAAGTTCAGGAAGAATCTTCAGATTTTTCACCAAAATTTTCAGAAAGACCATTACTAGTGTGAAGCATCATGCATTTTGTTAGAAGGTCTTCAGATTTAACCTTTACTCCTGAAAGTTGTAATACATTATCAAGATTTTGAATCTCAGATTTCAATTCACATTTCACTAAATCTGAAAAGTCGAGCAAGAATATCCCTCTCTCTTATGGGACAAAGCACTAGACGATATCAAGAGTAAGTGGAAATCTGACTATTCAATGGAAATAACAAGGAACAAGCAAAAAGTGACGTGCAGATTATCAGATAACGGGTCAGACTCACAGATAGAACAAATTTTCTACAGGAGATCATGTTGGAAGGAAAAAAGAGAACATCGTGTAGCTTACTCTGCTCCATGCATTGAGAAGGCTTGACTTCCCAACATTAGGGCGGCCAACAATTGCTATCTGCAAGTTTTAAGGAGATTGCTGAAGGAATTAACAAATCTATACATCTACTTTACACAGGAACAGACTATTAGACGACTCGTAAAATTTACCTGTATTCCAGACTGAAGAAGCTTGTCATAATTGGCCGTCTCAAGAGCAGTCTCTACATCTTGTGACATGGCATGTACTTTATCCATTACAAGTTCCAAGTCTAATGGTGGCATCTCATCATCAAAGTCTAGACGGGCCTCGATTTCAGTGAGTAATTCAATGCATTGTGTTCTTAGCAATTTGACTAAGGAAGAGAAGCCTCCCTGTCAATCAAAAAACTATATACTTCCGTTATGAAACGGTCATTGATGATTTCCAAATTAAGTTGCAGTAACCCGGTAACTGAAAATAGATGGTCACACCAGTTCAGACAACATTATCAGTTAAATAAGAGCCCCGACCTGAATTCCAGCCAACGCAGCATGTGCAGCAGCCGTAGACTTGGCTGAAATTAGTTTCCCAACATTTTCTGCTTGGGAAAGGTCTAAGCGGCCATTTAAGAAGGCACGAAGAGTAAATTCACCTAAAAACGGGAATATAAATATGTAAATATAAAAGTTTCTGTCTTCCCGGGTAATCGATTGGCACAAGTGTGGATTTGATAAGGGTGAGATAATAAAGCATAAACTTTTTTCTTGAACCAATTTTCCAAATTTTCTTTCATGCTTTAGCACTGCATTATTTACATGCGTGCAAGTGCATACTTCAGTTGGTATAGACAGATGTGAAGACAATTGTGTACAGACCAACAGCAGGCAGTTGTCTCGTGGGTGAGATAGAGTCAAATTGTGCACAAGTAGGCTCGAACACCATACATAAAACAAGGTGTTTAGACTATGAATTTAATGACAAAGCAATTCAAGTTCAGTAAACAAACCTGGTTCTGCAAGCCGGGCTCCAGCTTCTAAACAAGCCTTTAGCACACGTCGGAGACATACTTCACTCCCGTGACACTGAAGCTCAACCACATCTTCACGAGTATAAGATCTTGGGGCCAGCATCGGCACCGCCAAAACCTTCACAAAAGAGTACAACCATGGCTTAAATTAATCCAAGGCTTAAATTAATCCAATGGAAGTTTCATCTCAGACTTAAGAATTCATCAAACCATGGCAAAGGAAACGTTACCGTACTTCGTCAATTACATCGCCCTGTTGGTCCAAAACCGCACCGTACTCCACGACATGGCTAGTTGGTCTCCATGAATGCGGACTCAAATTCTTCGTCTTCTTTCTCGCGGCGGGGCGAAATAAACTCCCAACTATAGTCACAGCACGAGGACCCGATAATCGCACAATCCCCACCGCAGCAGGGGAACCCCCCATGGACGTCACGATGGCCGCAATTGTGCTCGAATTCTCAATTTGTTCGGCACGAGAATTCTCCAGGCGCTCATCTCGAGTCAAAACCAAGGCATTATCTGCACTCAGAAAAAGAAACAAGAATGAGGAAATGGCAAAACCCAGTGAATTTGAAATGATGAAGTAGAGAAATTGATAGGGGAATGACGTTTTGGAGTAGCGTGGGACTTTGTAAGAGATTTTGGAAGAACAGGGTTGGAGGATTTGGGTATGTGGGAGAGAGAGCATGGTGTGGAAACAGGGGCATGGAGGTGGGTTAAGAGAAAAGCCATGGAGGGTGAAGTTCTGTAAAAATGGGTGATGAAATGGCGGAATCCTGGAAGCAGAGCCATGCCTGTGGCTCTGGTTCGAAACTAGGCCAATACAGTACTATACTCCCGCCCGGAAACTATAGAGCCCGAGCATTGTCCGGTTTTGTGGATTTTGAAAAAAATAAAAAATATAAAAATAAGAAACACATCTCGGGTCAAATTTAAAGATTTAGTCCCTATATTTTCAAATCGGTAATAATTTAGTCTCTAAAAATTAGTAGGTAACAATTTTGTTTCTTGAAGTTTATAGTTTATAACAATTTTGTTCTTATTGTGAAACTTTTATTAAGTTTATTATATATGTAGACAATTTATTAAATTTTTTATATACGTAGATCGTCGAAGAATGATCAAATTCATTCATAAATTACAAAAATTATATTGTTTTAGGATAAAAATTAACATTTAATTTTGATGAGAGTTTTTCGTAGTAGGAATTGAATTATTACAAATTTTAAACTATCGAAACTCAATTGTTATATATTAAAATTCAAAGACAAAATTGTTACAATTAAAAATTTAGAGATTAAATCATTAACTGGAATGAAAGTTTAGAATCTAATAGTTTTTGATCGAAGATAAATATCTAAATCAGTTGAATAGACGTTATTGGAAAATAAATGGAAGTTATTGGAAAAGGGAAAAGGTTGAGTTTCTCAAAGTTTGGATGGATTGGGTGCAGTTTGCAGCAACATTGAAGCTCAGCCCCAAACGACAGAAACAACTTCACCGCTAGTATCAGATGCCTTCTTTACACCTCCACTTCCACTTCCAAACCATACAATTAACCAACTAATTAAAACTTCCATACATATTTTTAATTTTTTCTTTGACAAATTATAACCCATATTAGCAGAATTTATAACTTATTATTTTGTATTTTCGGATTAGTTAGAATCTCAGAGGGACAAACAACTTTTTTTTTAGTGACGTCTCCCCCAACCCACCACACCACAGATGCTTGGCCTCTCTTTTTCTTCTCTTCCGCCGATTCTGCAGAAAGAGGTAACTTAGAGAGTGTGATGCTTTGCTTTTGATCCATGGCGGCCATTGAAGAGACTGAGTTTTGAAAGCAACAAACAAGGTGTGATTCGATTCGATTCGATTGTCATCTACTGGTACTGGTAAGCCCATTTCATTTGGGTTTTCGTTTCAGATTTTAAGTTCTCGAGATTTCTATCCATGGAGGATTTTCTTAGCCTCCTGCTGCCCATTTTTCTGTCTGCAACTTAATCACCTCTACATTTCTAAGGAAGAAGAAGGTCCCGGTGTTGAGTGAAGAATCTGGAAGCATCCTTCAGTGATATTTGGTAAGTGAAAAAAACAAATTTCTTTTAATTTGTATTCCCAATAATACTACTGCTGCAGGGGAAGTAGAGAAAAGCT